CGCTTTCCACCGGTAGTCCGTCTAGGGGTGTTGGCTAAACCCTGATTCCAAACCACCCACAAATGGCGTAAGAAGCTCACAGTGGCACTTATAGTGGACTTATGGACATACACATACACGCATGTCACAGAATATTACACTTCTGCAAAGCGTTCTCTTCAAATTTGCACGAAACACTTCTACTCACCCCCACACAACACCCCCATTTTTCCACAGTTTGTCCCACTGACGTAGGTTCATGTTGTAGCTCGCCGCTATCCTCCTTAACATCTGTCTCGGAACCGACCGTTCCATTCCTCCGACCTCACTCTGCGTTCAAAGTGGTTTCGTTCAATGTTAGAACTCTAATGCGTATAGGACAACTAGCAGGTTTGGCTCACACGCTCGAAAGTCTAGAGATTGATGTGTGCTGCCTATCGGAAACACATATCCAGGATCTGAGCTCGGTGATCCGATTAACGCCCCCTTCCAACCCAAGAGAAGCGTTTTAACTAAGCTTCTCCGGGGGTCCTATCGCTTCAGCGTCTGGTCAAGCAGGCGTTGGTATTGCCTTAAGCGCCTGGGTGGAGGCTGGTGTATGAGATTGCATCCCGATAGATAGCCGACTATACGCAGTGAGACTCACAAGCTCAAGTAAGATCAAAAGGCAGAAACCAAATGAACGATGCTCTTTCGTGGTTTCTGCATACGCTCCTACAGACTGTAGCCAGGATACAGTCAAGGACGCCTTCTGTCACAACCTACATGAGCTTCTCAAAGCACCTGAGACGGATATCGTGAGCCTGGCCGGAGACTTAAACACACGCGTTGATCGTCTGCCACCCGATGAGACCTACCTTGGTGGCCATCATGGTCTTGATAGCTGTCGTTCAGATAAGGGGGAAAGACTTCTTAGCATATGCTCAGAACACGGTCCGTTCCCCGTTAGCGCGAACCTGACACTAAGCGTCACCTCACCACCTGACGCAACTTCTTTGTGGCACGGTTATGGAGTCAGATTGATCATATAGCTATCATCTATATTTGGAGAGGATGTGTGAAAGACCGCCGTTCGTATTGGTTTACCTGCTTGGACTTCGACCACGCACTGGTTTGTGCCAAGTTGTCTAGGCGATTCGGTGGCCGCAAGAAGATACGATGCAAACAGCTTGACATCGCCAAGGCTAACTACTACCCCACCAAATAGCCTAGATCAACAATGGACAACCATTCAAAACGCAATGCACTCAGCCGGCTTACACAGTTGTCACCTAATCCGCCGAGTTGTGAATCACTGGGTATCCTCTAACCCTCTTAGACTCCTCGACATGCGTCGGGCATTCCCGGTAGACCGCAGGTACAATGAAGAGCGCCTCTCCCTGAAGCATGAGCTCACAAAGAGTTTGAGAGACGACCGAGAGGCCTGGTGGATGCTACGTGCAAAGGAAATGGAATCAGCAGCTAGGTGTGGAAACACCCGGCAACTATTCCAGCTCATCCGTGCTACAGGCTCCAAAAGACTGGGTGTTAGAGAAACAATCTGCGAAGTAGACGGCACGCTAATAAACAGCCTTCACTGACGCTTGGAACGCTGGGCAGAGAACTTCACATCGCAGTTCAACCAGCCCCCCGCGCTGATTCTCTTGAGAGTGCACTCTGGTCACTTGTGAGAGTGCTCTCGAAGATATGGGAAACTGAAAGTGTACCTTACACATGGGGAGAATCGATTGTCATACCCATCTAAAAGGGCTGTCGCAACGCCTGTTCCAACCACAGGGGTATAAGTCTGATTCCAAAGGCGCCGAAGCTGCTGGCGTCTGTTTTATTACGCAGGTTATGCCCATTCCGTGAGAAGCAAATCCGCGAGGAGCAGGCCGGGTTTCGTGTACGCCGTGAATGCATAGATCAAATCTTCACCCTCCGTCAGCTACTAGAACACTGCCACGCATACAGACGGCAAACCATTGACGTTTTGTTTTCAAGCCGGTGGTAAATATATTTTTGGACATCAGAGCGGCTTTCTACTCTATCGATTGCCCTGCACTGTGGAACTGTTTGCGGAGATACGGGGCATCCGAGAAGTATGTCTCACTCTTAAAAGCACTCTATCACCAGACCTCAGGGAAGGTTAGGGCCTACAGTGAAC